ATATACCACTGCATGTTTGTGTGCACCAAATTGAGAGGAGCAGCGCAGTTTTTTCTTTGTTCGTAGTGGTTAAGACGCTTCGACCACTCAGTTCACTTCACTTGTGATGGTGCGTGTTGCCTTGACAACGGTTCATCTAGACATACGTCTGAAACATTACAGATTGTAGATTAAATTTATCCATCTTGCTGCACTGTCCCTTAACTGAAACATCTAGTCGCTTCGTTGCTTAGTTGTTGTTATCACAGAAGATTATCAGTTAGCGATGTAGCTGTCTATTCTCACTGTAAGGATAGGCTGCGAGTTTCTGATACAGAATTTAGTCAGTCAATCCCGTCCGCCCGACGTCGAATGACTACACTGGGCCACACCTTCTACTACAACCGTTTGGACTGCGCAGAAGATTATGAGATAGCTAGGTAGCTATCTAAATCCACCGTAGTTATACGCTGCTCGTTTCTGATACCGTATATAGTCCGTCATTCCTGTTTGTTCGACTTCGAATAACCACACTTGGCCACCCCTTCTGATGTGTTAGCTCGCACTTTGTGATATGGATTAGTCAGCACTTGATGGCCTCTCTGCGTAGCCCTCAGAGAATTGAGACGCTTGTTTTGTCCAGATAGCAGCCAAGACGGGCCGAGTTTCGGCATTTGGTTTGGCACAATTATTCGCTTCACACCTACGAAATGGCTTATTCTCATGCGTAAATTATCCTTTTCTTCCGTGTTATGTGTAGGAAATTCGGGACAGCCTATTGGACCACTTACAGAGCACAGGGACCAAATTAATCCACACGGTGTTGGAGCCCCTGCCGCTTATCAAACAGCTCATAGATCTCAAGGTCATGTACTACGACACGGTGGAGAAGGCCTTCGCCAACGAGCAGCTGTTTACGGATGGCGTACAGCGGAAGTTCGCACACGTGGTGAATCTCAATAAAAGGTATGCCAGGTGGTTGTTTACTGTTTACTGCTGATTGATTAATATAACTGTGATTTGTATTTAAGTCATAAATGTACCATGCATGGGTAGGTTTTATACGTGGTGAGTCCCGATTAAAGGTATGCCATGGGGTTGTTTACTGCTGATTGATTATAATATCTGTGATGTGTATTTAGGTCATAGATGTACATGCATGGGTAGTTAGTTGGCACACGTGGTGAGTCTTTATAAGAGGCATGACATGGGGTTGTTTCCTACTTTTGGATATGGTTGTGATTTTATTCTTTTCATCAATATTTATAGATACACATATATAGTGAAAGTTTGCTTGTGGCGAATCTCAACAATGCCGGAGATATTTAGGGTTTAGGGTTTTAGATATACCAAAGGTTACATGAAATATGATTGTGCATACCCGTAATGAAAATCCATGGCTTTGATGTATATAAGTAGTTGCTGCATCCCGCATTGCACGCATGTAGTGGATGTGGGCCTGCCGCTCACGAGTATAGCGTACATTGCACATGACTTGTACGATAGTCGTTCAATTAGCCTGGAACAATCAAGGTATAGTGCTTGTCCACATCTCTCGGGAGGGGGGAGGGGGTTCAGAGCGGATGGTGAATCTAGACCGAAGCACTCCACAGAGAGTGTACTCCGCTACGTAGATTATAGCGATAGCAAGGAACAGTGAGATGCCGTTCCGTTGGTAGTCGTGAGTAGAAAACTGGGCAGTTATTTATCTGAATAATCGGCCCTATTCTGTCTCATGGTTGTCAGTAGATTTTCGTTCTGTGTTTTTTAGTTTTTAAGGTATTTGTGTTGCGGTCTGGTATATCGTTTTTGGTTGTCTGTATGTCTGTGTCTGTTTGCAGGCGATGTCCGAAGGAATCGTTATTAGTGGAGTCTCACTCGTTAGTAATCGTGTCGTATTTATGGGTGGTATTTGCGCATCCCAGTGCTGAAAGTCTTCTTCTTATCTTGCTATATCTAAAGTCTTGACTTCAGTCTGAGACCATACCCTGTGTAAAGGGGACCAGGTGAGTGGATATATATATATATATATATATGTGTGTGTGTGTATGTATGTATGTATGTATGTATGTATGTATATATATATATATT